ACTAAAAAATACTATAAAGGTTTCTAAAAATATTTCCATCTCTGCTTTAATGAATTCAGGTGGGCAGTTGCCCTGTAGGATATTCTCCATTTTGTCTTTGCCATGTCTCTAACACAGTAGGTTGGTATTGCAGTAGAAAAAACTGCATTACATTTTCTAGGCAATACCTAAAAGCAGCATAAGGGGTCCTATCTTTTTTTCTCTTGGAAAAAACACAGTTACCTAGACAAATGTATTAGTATTACATGAGTTCCTAGATGTGTTCTCCAGAGAAAAAAAAAGTCACAGATCTGAGTGGGATGTCCTACAAAGTTTGTGCGAGTTAACTGGTGCTATTATAATGATGTTTGGAGGGGCATTAAGTAATTATAGTTTAAAAAGTGACACCACCCCCCCATCCGGAGTCACTGAACAGCACCAATGTCATCTATGTGAGTTTTACCTTACTCAGTGCATAAGATAAAACTGAATCCATTACAACAGTAGGAAACAAAGCACATACAAACACCAGTAGTTTTTCCTTTAGTTTTGCAACCATATAGCGTGCCTTGGGTGCAGGAGACATTAAAGCATGTACCATAGCATCTACAACTTCATTGCCATTAGTGCTGCCTGTATTGAGAATGTTGTTGAAAAAGTCTGCCCGCTCTTGAACATATTCTTTATTGTAAACTTCCTTTTCCTCTTCACTGAGTTCATTCCAAATCTCTTCTGCACTGATTGGCGGCTGAATTTTTGTAGAACGTGCATAATTTCCTGGCTGAATAATACAGACCTAAAAGAAAGATGTGAAACTTATCAAAATGTAATCAGTCATTCTGAATTCAACCAAATAACATAAACAGTGAAATGGGTCAAAAGCTTTCCATTGACAGGCTTCTCTCTTTCAGAGAGAGAAAGAAGAGAAAGTGCTTTCGGTGAAATTTTAACCTTGAGAACCTCACTGAAATCAAGTATTTTGATTGAAATAAACATTTAAGATTTCAGAGGTGCTTCATTCTGCCTTCTCTATTTCAATCTGATGTTAATGTTCTTGTTTCAACTACGTAATATACCTTCACAGATGCAATATCATGTCTTTGATTTTATAGAATACTTAACAGCATAAATGTTTTGACAATACCGAGACAAAGCATTTCAATCTGACTTTGATGCCTCCAAAGTGGAGTAGTTTGGATTTTTCACTCTGTGGCAAATCTTAAAATTGGTGATACTTTGCCCCAATTTGGGACAAAAGAAGAAGTCAAAATATTAGAAATTTCTGGGAAACAGAAGTACTTTTTTAAAAAAATAATTAGGAAATTTCTATAGGTTTCTCTGTGCATATGTTCCAATCCAAAATATACAAATCCTTTGTTGCTCAGTTTAGGTGTTACTTGCGTGCCTTGCTGCTGCAGTTTTGTTGACCTCTGGGATTTCTGGAGACTTTTAGAGCCAGCTTAGCACTTGCAGTATGTGTGTGTTTCCTGGCATATGGGAGTTAACAGCACATGCACTATTTGCTGGTACATCATGTAAAACCTCCGTGGCATTTAACTGCTGCCTGTGGTTAAGACTAAAGACTACAACACAAGATGAAGAAAAATGGTGCTTAGCTGTGTGGGAGACTTGGGGATCTAACAAACATCCTCTGGAGAGTCTGTGGCAATTTAAACCCTCAATGCTCTCAATCTACCATCCAGTCCATCTACCAGAGGCTACCAGTCATGTGTAGCAGGGCATGTGGCAGCCCCTCCACCTTCATAGTGACCAGGGGCTTGGGCTAACGTGCTGAAGGGGCTGAGGTGCAGGCACTGTATGCAGTGGGAACGGACACGGGGTGCCTGTAGCAGAGATACACGGTGTGTAGCCAGGTATGTGTTGTATTGCCTCAGCTAGGTTTGTCAGAGTCTTTGCTTTGGGTGCTATTTTCAAAAGTGTTTATTTATTTGTCAGACTAATGCCAAGATTAAACTTAACATATATATTCTGTGTCAAGGGCTTTTGAAAACTTTGTGTTTTGGAACTTTTTGGAGTTATCTGAAACTGATGGAGAGATTGTGCTTTTTCCCCTTTCCCTATTTACTGTAGCCTTGCTTCCTGCAAGCCGCCAGCTTGCACGGCCAGAGTTCAGGGTGACAGAGTCATCGCTCCATCTGTTCCCTGCCACTTTTGGGCCACTATCTTCTCAGAGGAGAAGGGCAACATCAGAGCAGACACGGGCAGCATGGAGGAGAGAGAACCCATGCCCTGCTGTCCTCTTGCAGGGAAGGGTGTGAAACAAATGCTAGCCAGGGTCTAGCACACGGTCCAAGGTAGATAAGGAATTACTGTGGCTATTTTGGAAATCTTTGTCAGTTGGGCTCACTATATTGTGTGCAAGGGTCATTTTGGGGGTGGGGGAACAGTAAAAATCTTAAGTAGACCAGAGTAATTAACCTGTTAAACTAAGCTCTTCCATGCACTTAAGATTATCCTCCGCTAATCAGTTCCAATCCTCCTCATGCTGTGTGGTATTATGATGTGTAAAAATCACTTGCATTTTAGAGTGTTTCATACTTCTCCAAAAGGAGCCGTTAACAGATGCATAGCTTTAATTTCTTCCAATGCAAGGCTCGTGAAAAGTGCTGTAATGTGCATATGTAGACAGTATACCAATGTAAATCCTGCAGGAAAAAAGCAAGTGTTTCAAGAGCAGCAGAGTGACTCCCAAGGAAAAAGCCTAGTCAAGCTACTTACTGATCTAAGCTCAAGGCTTGACTATCAGTGTTGCTTAGTTAGAGCACTAAGAGCACTCTTAGTGCTGATTAGGTTAAGACAGATTAGGTTAGGTAAAAACGTAGTTACTCTACGTGAATGCTGTCTCTTGCAGTGTAGCTGTTCCCAGCAGAAGGAAGGAGTCTAACTACCGGTGTGACGAGTGACAGAACTCCTCACTACACAGCATTCACACCTGGGTTTTTGGCTTCCAACAGCTACCCAAGAGAATGGAAATTTTGGTTAGTTTGTGCTGTTACAAGCTCTCCTTGGAGCACAGTATCATACGGCTGAACCTGCCTTACAAAGCTGGGTCAAGGTACAGGCTACGGAGAAGCGGTGGAAGCTGCAGGGGCTGGCACAGAGGAAAAAGCCACCCTGCAGCTTCTCCCTTCTGCAAGCGCCACCCGAGTCCTCTCACCCCCATGACTTTGAAACCATTGAAGAGCGCACAGAGCAACCGCCACTTTACAAGGGGAGGCTGCATCCACAGATTCAGGCAAGCTGCTCTGCTTTTTTTTAATTGGATAAATGGAGCTTATTTGCACAAGATTAGATACCATTTTCCATAAGCTCGCTCTTGTTCTCTTTGCCAAAGATGGATCCCCACACCACTGTCCAGTATTTGTGCAAGCTGCTTGCTTCCTTCCCCAAAAGCAGAGGATGCACTTCAGCTCTGTGGGAAGTTTCAGAAGTGAACCTTAATTCTTTCTCCTCAAAAAAAAAAAAAAAGGTTTGAAATACCAGAATTTTCACACAATAGCTACTGATTACTTCACTTACCAGGACACCAAACTTCTTCATTTCCAGTCTTAGAGCATCACAAAATTTTTCAATAGCTGCCTTGGTCATAGAATAAATGCCATTTCCCAGAGTAAAATAGGCAATAATGCTGGACATAAAAACAATGCGTCCTAGAAAGAAAAGTGCAAATACCATAACTTTTTACTCTTGGTCTTTACCTTAACTTAGAATTGATTTACCTGAGTCTTCTGAACTGCTAATAACATGCCAGGTAGCATGATGCTCTTTTACTGTATAGTGTGACATAGCTGGGCTGGGTTAAGTGCCAAGCCACAGCACAGCTGCGTGTGCAGCCTGGCAAGGCAGGGAGGACAGGGCTTCCTGCCGAAAACTTCCTTCCTCCTATTGGCAGATGCAGCACAAGGCAAAGGGTAACACATTCCAGCTTCCTTCTAACTCCTTCTGTGTCAATCCACTCAGTATCAGAGGATGAGTGAGAAAAAACAGTCCCCTAAAACCCTGGGATGGAAAAATAACACTAGACTACACTGGTAATAGTAGACAAGAAGGCAGAGGAGAGAAGCATGAGACGATTCTCTTTGTGATGGGTATATGACTACTAATAACATTTTTTTTTCTATCCTAATGATATTTCTGCACCAAGTTCTGCATTACAGCTGTGCATACAAAGTCACTAGAGTTATAAGCCAGTAGAGTTATAAAACAGAGAAAGGTGACCTGACAAAAAGGGTACAGTTTTATACTGTCTTGCTGTTATTTCCCTGATCTTTTCTGCTATTTTTCCTTTATAACTCTTGCCAAGTGCATGCATGCACTGAATATGGGTGATTTCTGATTTGAAGGCATGGGCTCTGTTCCATTTCTGTTCACTTTTAACCTTCCATCAAATAATTATACCGCTGAATGAGAAGCCTGTGGATGTGGACATACATATACTAGAGGTGAGAGAGAAGAAGCCTCACAAGTAGTGGTTCCAGGAAAGTGGTTTCATTGCTATTGCCTGAGCCCAAATCTGACTAAATGTTATAAACTTCTGAGATATTAATGGGTATGATGGAAATGCAGTGAAATCTGTCATTCTGAATTAGGTTCCCTGTCTTCTTATATAGTGTATAGGTTAAGTCAGATATATCAAAATGGGAATGCAATTACCAGCTTGCTGACCAAGATCCTATCTCAGCTGGCCCCTGGAAAAGTTACGGGAAAACGTTGCTCTTCTCAGAGAGCTGGGCACTTAATTCTAGGCTGGAGGGAAATATCATCCTTTTGACTAGATGGATAAGAACTTGGAGATAAGAAACTATGTAGATAGAGCTATTCAGACCTAAATCTTCCAAGGGTTTACACATGTGCTTAACATCATACATATAAGCAGTCCCTTTGCCTTCAAAGTAACTCCATGCAATTCATAGAGTGTGACAGATACCAACGGTGGATCCACATTGCAGAGTTAAAGCAGCAGGTAGGTCATCAAAGAAAGTAAGTAAATTCTCCCATGTAATGGCCACATCTCACATCCATTGTTTTTCACCGAGTATATGCAGTTCGTTCAGAGAAACACATTCATCTGGCAGTCTTTAAAAGTTTCTTTTTTTTTTTCTTGCATCAAAAATCAGCTGCAGGCAACCAAGTTGAGTAGGCAAAAGGAAGATGCTTATACCTTAACAACATTTTGCATAAGAGTGATATCTGGGGATTCCACATTAAACCTAGATCTTACTGTGCTTGATGCTGTACACACAAGAGAACGTATCCTTGCCTTAAAGAGCTTACTATCTAAGTAGGCAAGTTAAGCAAAGGGAGGAGAAAAGAAAATTGTGCCCTTTTTTCCCCAAATTTAGATGGGCAGGGGTACAGAACAAACTGCAAAGCAAATAAAAGACATTGCAATACCAGCAAGAACTATCTGAACTATTTCTTCTCATCAGGATAAAGTCCACACTGTGGAGCTCTATGCAAATGCATTTATTCTGCTTCCTGCCCATGCAGCTCTCTACAATACTTCTACATATTTGAAGTTGTTCATCCAAGGTCATAGGATCATTCTAGGTCTAGAACTGCAAGCTGGATGTCCCTCATTTCCCTCTCCAGGATCATCCTTCCTCTCCCAATTCCTGAATAGTAAAAGAGTAAAGCCTAAATAATGAAGTTAAGCAGGAGTTTATTGGATCTTGGTGTTTCCTGGCTGGCAGGGCTTAAACAGTCTTGTCTGGGGTTAATTGCCTACTATATTTTTCCTCTCTTTTTCAAGCCAAAATCTGAGATAATTTGTTGTTTCTAAACATAGTACCTTTGGAAGGGGGGAAAATAGGGACAGAATCATTCTTTTCTTTTTTTTGTTGCTAGTTTTTTTGTTTGTTTTGCTTATGACTTTGCCCTCTTTTCAGGATCAAGTTGCTCTTTCAGGCCACACAGCTGTCATTTCAGTTCAATGAGAGACAATTAAGGCTTCTTTTATAGATACTACATTACCCTGATTATAGTAAGCTAATTATTCTACAACTCTAAATAACAGAGGATTAGCATTACCCTTGTATTTCCTTAGAAGAGGAAGAAAGGCCAGGGTTGTTCTGATGCTCCCAAGGAGATTCACATCTGCAAACTTTTCATATTTCTCCATAGAGAGCCATCCTGTCTCGCCAAATGTTGATATTCCTGCGTTGTTCACAAGCCCCCAAAAACCTAAAGGAGAACATAATTTAACAGGCATCTTTCACTGAAAAAATGACCACCATCAAGCGACCAAACAACACTAGTGATTGGATCCTTGCGGTATCTTTTTGTTTTTTTTCTACTTGTAAGCACAGGCTTACGCTTTGCTTAATGAAGAAATGTAATTTTAGCCTTTAACTAGACCCTATAAATCTCATTGCTAAATCACTCACTTTATAGTCATATCGAGTTATTTATGAATCACATGATGATCTGGGAGACTACTTCTTGATGCCAATGTGGTATACCATGATATTTTAATTGCATTAATCCCACTGTGTGCTATGAGCAGCTTTGTGAAAATTATATTAAGCAGGCTAAGGGTAGTATTTTCAAAGTGACTGACCAATTTAGGATCCTAAATCTTGGCTCCTTTTCCAGGATTAGAGCTTCAATTCCTCTTGAAATCTGCCAGAATCGGGTATCTGGGCACAACACTGGATCCAGGTCCCAAGCAAAAGTTATGACTGAACAAGTAAGGTCCGTGGTTACAGTATTCTCTGGGTTTTGTACACGTAGCCAGGTCTACTCCTACAACAGTGACCTGGCACTGTGGAGCCCAGGTGCCTAAAATTCAGTAGGATTTCAGTGTTTGCAAGTGGATTTTTAAGGACAGGAAAACTTAAGTCTTGAACAACTCTAAGCCAGCAAGCACAAGCCCTTTAGCCCAAAGTCACAGATATATACGTCACTTGTACTGTGTAATGACAGTGCTAACACTGTTAAGACTCTTGTAGAATGTTTCAAGATCAATGGATAAAAAAATAAAGTCTGTTAATAGCTATATAGCTAATTAGCTTTTTTTTTTTTTTTTTTTGCTTAATACATGGCCTGAACTTCAGAAGTAGCTGCATATCCCATCTGCTTCTGCTTAAAGCAAGAGGTCTATGTACTCTAGGACCTGTTGCCCAAAAGACACACATACAAAGAAAAAAATCAGGTTTCAAAATTCCTATTTAGGTTCTAAAGATGCCAGGACAAGGTGGAGCATGGCTTAGTTATCTAATATCTATAGAATAGTGGGAAGGCGCATGGAGTGCTTTTTATCCGTGAGGGTTTTTTGTGCAGTTTACACACCAGAACTTCTCATGTCTCTCTCTGCATTGAGTTAAGATGGTGAGAGAAGGAGAGTCTGGCTCTCACATCCAGCTGAGTCTACAAGGTGGTGATTAGGCTTTTCTGGACAAAGACTCTCTTACTTTGTTTATCATGTCCAGAACAAGAGAGTAAGTGATGCTGAGTGAGATCAACAGGCCATATGGAAATAAAAGTAGAAAGAAGAGCATTCCACAGAATGCCTGAGAGAAAGAAACCTGTACAGAGACAGTAAACTCCTGTGAGAAAATATGTATTTTCATCAACTATAAAAAAGAGTTAAGCCAAAGAAAAATGACCAAATATTGGCTGCTCAGATAACACAACTTCAAAGAAAGAAATTCTGCCCATGTTTGACATTCAAAAGTAACTTATGTTAGATGTTATGTTAGATGCACAGTCCATGGGGAAGATGATACTGTAATTATAAAGCACAAATACTTAATCTTTACAAGGATTTATTCTTAGCTATTTAAACATGGAGTGCAAATAGCGAGTATTGTTTAACTGCTTTCTCATCATTAAAGTACATCTTCCAAGGTTTTAGTTGAGAACATACTGCTTTAGCACACTTACCATTAAACCTTGAGATTGTCCAAGGTGTTTCTTTTCTGTATTTTTACCATTTTGGGGAAGTTAAGAGAGTGTTTTAGCTATCTGAACTTAGAGGCCCAGCATGCTGATGCGACATATTTTAAATCTTTGGTATCTGAGTAAAACTGAAAATACTAAAAACGGGACAAAGAGGAGAGAGGGAACAATCCCTAAAGCCATTTCCTACTGACTCCAAATGATATGATGCCTCCTTCTCCATTTCTATAGGAACTCACTGAATAGATCTACCTTATAGAGAGCAAGGGCAGTGGAAAGGGACAGACAGAGCTGTTCAACAGTGCTTACAAATTAAAAGGGAAATACAGGATACGTCTAATACGTATTTTAAACATGGATTTTTTTGGAGTTTAAGATGATCTAAAAACTACTACGATCTTTTAAGTTGACCCATTGAATTCCTACATCAATTTGAACTGTTCATGCACAAACAAAAGTAAAATTTCTAGATAGCTAAATTCTATTTAAAACACAAGAAAAAAAAGGACGATCTACAAAACTTATCAGCTGCTCCTCGCTCTCCCTATTACAAATGCCCAACATCTACTTGATTTTCGGTTTGGTTAGTCTCACGTTGCAGGCACTGGATGAGCACAAATGTACTGAAGTTTCGCTATGTTGAGTTTCCTACTGGGAGGGGTGTATCATGGCATGTCCTCCACTGCCCACACATTGGGAACCTTTAGGCAGCAGATGTTTTCTTACAGTCAGATACCTTTCTGATTTTCTAGGTGCTAGCAAAATAGAAATGCAATTACAGATGTTCAGATTTTTCTTTTCTCATAAAAACAAGTTTTATTAAAGCAGTATTAAAATAATTACAATTACTGTCTTAATAATGAATAATTTCACAGTTTAACTTAAGCTGAATTTTTAAATTGAAACTATTCATTAACTATAAGTTAAAATACCAAAGAAAATAACAGATCTATTTTCAGAGATACTAAGAGCCTGCACCTCCTACAGAAGACTTTTGCTTAAGGATGCTACATAAGTAGAGTATACTCTGAGTTTTTTTACATTTGCAATAAAATTATTTATGCTTCTGTATTTTGTAAATTATGAAAAATGGTGTGATATTTGCTCCATTAAAATTGGATATTAGAATAACTTATTTACTCCTTTTTGTTTAATAAACTTAGGAGGTAGATTACTTGATAACTGGATATTTTTCCCAGTAACTTTTTAAAGTAAAATAACAACTTTTTCTTTCCTGTCTTTGCAGCCTTCCTTCCAAAGTGCTGCAGCAATATGAGAAGGTCCCATGAACTATGTGCTCAGCACATGTCCAATGCTGTGTTATGGGCCTGACCTATAGCCCGGGAAAGCAGCACATACCTGGCCGTGCACATAGCAGGTACGGGTCGGCATTCAACACCAGCTTGGCTCCAGTGTGTTCCCTGGCCCCTGCCTGTGAACCCTCGTGTTTTTCACTTGGTGTGCCTCAGTTTGAAGCCATGTTCACACAGTTGTAGACAAGCTTGTGCTCAACAGTGGATTCGCGGTCTAGATGATAGCATGAACACGACTGCTGCATGACCTGCCAGCACTCTTGGGATAAAGTATTTTATCTGTAAACCAGGCCCTGTGCCTTGCCTGGCCTGTAAGGGGTCTTGCGAGTCACCTACCTCTGCAGCCTGGGAAAGAACTGAAGAGAGGAAGGCACTGCCTCTTAATCAGCTGAGGTCAGGATCAACCATAAATACATGCTCTTAAGGAGCTGCATGTGGGCTTTTGCTTACTTCACTTCTAGCCTCATCCCCCTCCCTGTGTGGTAGTGAACCCGGCAGGCAGAGGCTCCCTGTCCTGTGTTTCGTGCTCCCGCATTTTTTTTTTCCCCCCCCCGATTACACCCGGAGCGACCAGGAACCGCCAGTCCCTAACCCCGGAGGGGTCTGATTACCGATAGAGAGCAATGTGCTGAGCCAAAGAAGGAATACCCGCGGCTATTGGGCACTATTTACCCGACCAGCCTAAAAGGACCTGAACACTCAGAGGCAGCGCCGAGAAGCGGTGCTGCGCGGCCCCCGGAGCTCAGCTGTGGCACCGGAGCTGCCTGCGCGCAGCTCCACAAGACACCCTGCTCCTTGCTGCCCCTGCGCGTGCCCACGCTCTCCTCCCTCTGCGTGTTTTTTCCCGCCAGACACCCGCAGGCGGCTCCCACGGGCATCCTCGCGGCCACGGATTGCCCTTTCTGACAGAAATGTGTCACTGCCCCGCGACTCACGGGGGTGCAAACGCGCTTTGCCCTGGCAGCGTTTTGGTTACCCCCGCCGCAGCACACCGCTTAGCCGGGCACCAGCGCATCGCCTTTATTCTAATATAAAGTGTTGCTGTTGTTACTGACAGTAGTAATCAGCAGCACGAGCAAGAGCGCGCTGCCCCGCCGCCCCACCGGCCGCGCGCGCCGCGTCCCGCCCCAACGGCCCC